TCGCCGCACCAAGCTACGAACTCGTCAAAGAGACAAGCCCACACGGGATCTACTCATTTCCCTCTTTTGGTTCCTCCATTATTGTAATCCTGATTCGAATCCTTTAACTTTTGTGTCTAATGCGGAATATCACCATTAGGCAGTCTTGTTCTTCCTAGCAATCTATAACGTCGGCCGTCCCGATCCAATAAAACCTTAGCTACATCCAGATTTATCCTTTGCCGGCAAGTGTAGTTATGATGCTTATTCTTCGAAACCCAGCTTTCCCTTATCTCTAACTGCATTCACACTTTTTATGTTTGAGTTCATTCTAAATCCCCATCAAATCAGCCACAAGTCTGTCTGGCATTAAGAAATCGGAGCGAGGGTTAAAGCAATTGATGATTACTACATTTTGGCGTTCGAAGACAGATTACGCACTGATGTAATTATGTGGACTAATTAATGTTTTACTTCTTCCACCTAGGTAACCATGAGCATACAAAGGCGCATATGGAATAATCTTATATAATCACCATATAAATAGAAAAGTTTAATATGGCTGGAGTATATATACAAGATATAAGGTAAAAACCATAAGATATAAATACCAAGATGGAGTTGCCTCTTGTATGGTCGCAGAAAGAGGAGTGAGAGTGTAACCGTTTTCGGCAGAATGTTTATCGAAGGATTGACTTCACTTGTTTCTTTGACGAGTTTGTAGCTTGGTACGGAGAATGGCAAAACTCACTGATGATGCCGACTACGAGGTCGACGAAACGTTTGAGAATGTACCAAGTCCACTGTCTGATGCTGGGAATCATGACAACTACTATGGCAGACGAATGTACCAAGTCCAATGTCTGATGCTGGGAATCATGACAACTACTATGGCAGACGACTTCGGACTAGGTGCGTTATACTAAGTCACATTGACAACAAGACCAAGTTGCAACAACGAGGTCAACCCACTTCTTTAATGATAATGTCTATGAATAGGTGCAAAGTCTAGCAATGGGATTTTGTTTAGCTTCCCTTTTAACAAACGCTCCACGGAAGAGGTATGATTGGCGCCAAAACTGTTGGTTGGATATATGCATGATTACTTTGCCATTTGGCAGCATGGTACGAATAGTTTAGAAAATTTCTTGTTGTTAATTAACCAGATTGATTGCAATGTTAAGTTGACAATAAAGATAGAGAAGGACAATAATTTACCCTTTTTGGATGTTTTAGTGAACAGAGCTGGTGAGTAGTTGAGCAGGGATGTAAATAG